TGGCTCACCTGGAGGGTGGCCAGTAGGAGAAGCTGAGGCTCAAGCAAAAGTTCCAGAACATCTGCTCCCCGGTGGCTCTCGTGGTCTGATCCTGTGGGCCATCTGTCGGAGGAGCAGCAGGAGGCTGGCTGCCGTCCCAGGACTCGGCCACGTCCCCTGCCCTGGCTGGTGCTGGGCTTGCCTCCCAGCAGCCTGGCCGGGACCCGCCACCTCGAGCCTCAGCTCCTCCCCTGGCGTCCGCTCCGAAGCTCTGGACTGTGCGTGAGGTGTGATTCAGCCTCTGGTTGCATCAGCTCGGCGTGTGCAGTCAGCTCTTCCCGAGCGTGCACGTCTGCCCGGGTCATTCTGCAGGAATGTTGGTGCCCCACTTCCAAGAAAACACGTGGTGCCTGGCAGCTCACAGACCTGGCACGGCCTCTGAGTGACAGTGGGCAGCACCTGGCCGACTTGTCTTTTTCACCTGTTACAATGCTGTGTCTGCCTCACCTTTTTCCCGGAAGGAGGTGTGCATGTGGATGGGCACATCGGGTCTTTTTCACTCTTGCTCGGGAACTGGTTTCCTGTTGTGTGTGGGAGACGCAGTTGTTTGATCGTTTCTTTCAGAAGTGAGGAGCGTAGAAAACTAGGTCATGTCAGTGTGTGAGGGACCGACTCCTGCTTTAGTTACTTTCTCGTGAAAGACGGTGACTCATCATGGTGGTTCTTAGCTTCAGCTTCACCACCAGTCACTACGTTGCTCTCTGTACCATTTGTTCGTAAGGGCTGCAGGGGTGGACCTTCTAAGGGAGGGTCCGGTACCCTCACCCATGCTTGACTGACTCCTGCCCTGGGGTGGTCCTCATCTGGCTCCCCGCTGAATGTCTCTGGGGATCAGGGTTCCAGCCCGTTCCCACCTCCCACTAAGGAGACTGAGGCGGCCTTTCTGTAGCCCCTTCTCCTGGCCTCTGACAGGGTGATGCTGAACCAGTGCGGCTTCCTCCCCGCCCTTGGATGTTGCATTTCATCTCCTGACATGTAACCAAGCAGAACCTTTTCTGGCTCCTGTTTCTCAATTAAGGCAATGGATTGAAGCCTCGACAGCTCCTGTTGTGGGGAACTTGTGTGTACCCTTGCAGATTCCTGGGGGCAGGTCGGTCTGTGTTCCTGGTGGTGCTGGTGCTGGCTGAAGAAAAGAAGTGTTTGCACAGGAAAAACTTGACAACTCAGGACTAGGTGTGGTGAAAAGCGAGCAAAACAGAAGAGAAGATTAAAAGTTGGGAATCAGTTTAAAAAATTAGCCTAGGAAGTTGGCATGAAGAACGTGAGAAAGGCAGATGAACTGAGGGCGTGCAAACCCGTGCACTGAATAAAGAGCTTCCATGTGAGGCTGGGATGATGAAAAGGAAAAATATTTCTGTGTAGCTGATAATCAGTAGAGGAAATAGTCACAGGTTTCATTCAGCAGATTTTGCCTTCCTGAACTGTGTGAGACCCCCGCCCCTGCCCCTTCCTCCCACGTCCCCCAAGAGGGCCAGGCCAAGCACCACGGTTGTTACTTTGGATGTGTCTCCCCCTCCTGTCCCCACCCACAAAGTGCCAGACCCTCGACGCCAAGCTTTGAACTCCAGTGCTGTCCCCTGTACAGATCGGCTGAGTGCCCGTCGCTTAGTCAAAACAGGCTGCTGTCACTACTGTTTCTGAGAAGGTATTTTATAGATGTGGTAGTGTCTACTGTCACTTGACTTTAAGTAAAGGAGATTATTCTCAGTAATCTGGGTGAACTTCAGTCAGTTGAACAGCCTTAAGAGCAGAAGTGAGGTTTCCACCAGCAGCTCCTGCCCCAGATTTCAGGTTCCCGCTGCCCACAGTTGTACAAGCCGAGTCCTTGACGGAAATCTCGCTGCACATATGTGACTGACTGGTTCTGTCTCCCTGGCGGGGGCCCTGACACATAGCGTGTCAGCTCTGCACCTTGCTCGTGGGGCAGCCTGAGCAGGCCGGGTGTGGGGTGTGTGTCCAGGCCTTGAGTGTGTGTTGCTAACAGAAGTGGAAGCAGGAAGGTGTTGAGTAAAGGGGGCTCCTTTCCACTCTGGCTGGGCGCTCCTCGCCCAGTTTCTGACTAGCGCTGATCACAGTGTTCGTTGCTCTGGGACTTGGGAAACTTTTAACCACCTGGGGCTTTTCCTTGTATGTGTGGCTTGAGAATTTTACCATGAAAGGGAGGAAGTACCGATGGCCATTCTGACATGTTAACCGGACCACAGACACAGCAGTGAGGTGGGGCCTCAGCCCTCAGACTGCTGTATGGCGTCCTGTCTCTGAGAGGTGTCACCAGATTTGTTCAGCTCCGACTCTTGGCCCTTGGTGCCGCTGCGGTGATTTATTCGGTTACTGGTAATCCTCACACGGAGGCCACAGGTGCCACCAGGCTTTTGGAGTGGAGCTCACCGCACAGCCAGGCAGCTGGAACGTCAGAATACCCTGAACGTGAAGCTTCAGTTCAGTGCTGAGCGCCGCGGGGTGAACCGGCTGTTTGCCCCAGGGGTGCGGGGTCCTGTTCAGTGAGCATCTGGGCTGAATTATGACCATTTCTCTTCCCTGGATTTAGCTTCTGGGTTAGAAGCGCAAGCTTAGAGAAGCCTGCCTCATAAAGTCCAGAGCGGGGGGAGCAGTGAGGAAGAGAAGATCTGAAAACTTTCCCCTTTTCTAACTTGTCGATGGCTGAATAGCACCTGATGACAGCTGGCGGCCGTCATAGGTGAAGCCAGGACACCTGGGACGCCTGGGGCCCGACGAAGTGCGGCTCCGCCCGCCTGGGGCCACGTCGGGTGCTGAGGCCCCTCTGAGGCTTTGTCTCATCAGGTCACCGTTAGCTCATGTGATGCTTACAGATCAAAAATTAACTACTCGTGGGTGGCTCCCTCTTTGGTATTTTGAAGTCCTTTTGAAGCCAGCTCTGAAAGTACTGAACTCAACTGTGGAAGGAAAGAGCCAAGACAAACAGCACTGCGGGCGGAAGGTGGCCTCCAGGCCTGCGCCCTTCTCAGCTGGAGCAAGAACTTCAGGCCCTGGAATGTTGACCCGGCACTGGGCTGAGGGAGGGTCTGCAGGCCCCCGCGGGGCTGCCCTTCCCCACATTCCCAGCCTCAGGGAGTGGGGACGCCGCGGCAGGGGCCGAGACCAGAAGCCACGTTTCCTGCTGCGTTTCGTGGTGGTTCTGGGCAGCACGCGGCCCTTCTGTGCGCGATTCCCCAGTCCCCCACCGCAGCTCCCACGCTTAGCCCCTCGGGACCTGGGACCAGCCCTCCCGTCGCCCCGGTGAGGCTCCTGGCGGTCGTGGACAGTAGGCTGGATGCGTGAACTGAGTTTTACACACCAACCAGGAGGGGCCCTGCAGCAGCCCAGGTTGCGGGGGATCTGAAAAGCACAGAAGCCTTGAGTCCATTTCCGGGAAGATGAAAACAGGCCAAATGCAAACTCTGTTACTCAGGAATGTGGAGAAATGGTTGTTACAAAAGCCAGGTTGTTAGCCTCCCCGGGGGAGGGAGACCGATGAGTCAGGAAGCCGGGCTCAGGTGTGGCTGCAGGCTGCCCGGTGAGTCCTCCAGCCTCCATGGCTGTGTGCACCCGAACGTCACGCACACACACGCGCACACAGCCACACGGGAGGGGCCTCTCATCCCACGTTTCTGAGTCGCACCTGAGTTGCCCTGCCCTATGTGGTGGCGCCGACCCCCCCATCTCCCTCCCCCCATCATGTCTGTGGCCCAGACACCCATGGAGACCTGAGGGCACATCTTCTCCCTTGGCAGCTGGGTGACAGGTGGCATGGGATGCGCAGACCTCAAGGGTGACCCGGAGTCTGGAGGGGGTCCCTGTGGCCCCGGGGGAGGGAGATGTCCTCCAACTCTGGAGCGGGAGGGCCTGGCCCAGACCCCAGATCAGGGGCTCCTCCCTGTGGCCCGCGGGGCAGCCCTCGGAGGACAGCCCCCTCGGCATGGACCCTCAAGTGAGATGAGCGGCAACCTTTCTGAGAAGAGGCGATGGCTTTGCCCCGTCACCCGGAGAGGAGAGGCTGTGGCTGGTGGGCCACGAATCCAGCCTATTGGGCCTGGTGGTGCCTGTGTGCTGGGGCCCTGGGGCTACGGGTAGGCTGGGTCCAGGTGGACCCCTTCACACACTGCCCAGACTCCCGAGACGGGGCACCTGGGGAGGCAGCGGGGCCATGGCAGCCACACTGAGTGGCCTCTTGCGGGAGGTGGACTGGGCCCGGCTTTGGGGCAGTGCTGTCTGTGGCAGGGACCACAAAGAGACTCATGGCCATTCTGCTGTCTGGCCGGTGCAGACTTTGGGGAAACATGAGCCCCCCCAGCCCCCGTCTGCCTCACTGGCAGAGGTGCCCTAGGCAGAACGTCCTGACTGAGAAGCACCATCGTGCAGATGTGGACTCCACATCCCTGCTCCTTCCAGGCCCTGTGAGGTGGAGGCTCTGTGAGCAGCAGGCCTTTTGTGGAAGATTCTAGGACCTACCTCGGCAAACACACACACAATTCTAAGCCGCATCTCATCAAAGACTATTTTTTTTACAAACTCACTAAAAGCTGAGCAGGGCTGGGTTGCAGGCGGGCCCGGCCTGGAGAAAGACTTTCTGGTTCTGACGGCCCCAGACCTCAGGCAAACGTGTGGAGAACCTTCTCGTCTTCGTCCTCGTCCTCGTCCTCTGAGGCCCCCACAGCCGTGAGGACACGAGGGCCGTAGGTCAGAGGAGGGGGCACAGTGGGGGGCAGGCGGGGGCAGCCGCCGCCGGGGAAAGGTGAACTGGTGCGTGGCCATGTCACAAGATACCTTCTTTTCAGGGTCCGTTTCTGTGTGACAGTTTTTGTCGTGCAAACTTTGATGACTGTCCGTTACGGCGCTTTGGAGGGTGTTTGGGGATCCCGCCCTAGAGAAGTGAGGGTGAAAGGGTGGTAAAGCAGTGGTCTTCCCAGCGAACTCACCCGCGCTGCCCTGTCTTCGCCTAGGAGGGCGTCGTGTCGCCGGGTGACCTCGACCTCGTCATGTCAGAGGGCCTGGGCATGCGGTACGCCTTCATCGGGCCCCTGGAGACCATGCACCTCAACGCGGAAGGTACGCTGGGGTTCCCTCGGGCTGCGGCGGGAGTTCCGTGCTGGTTAGTGTTTTCGTGGGTTTTGCCAACATCAATCTGGGTCTTTTCTTACAACGGAATAGAAACAGTATCGTGCAGGAGACAGGCCAGCCTGGTAATTCACAGGGAGGGGCTGGGACGGCCGGCTGAGATGCCGGGCCACTAGGCCACGTGCCTCCGGGCGGCGGAGAGCACCCCCGTGAGAGTGGAGCGGGTGACGCGGAGACGTGGCCGCGGAGCCCCAGCCTCGGGGAGACAGCTGCGTGTCCTGAGGAAGCTGGTGAGATTGTGCAGAGGCAGGAGAAGCAGACAGGGCTGGAGGAGGGACCGCCTGCACCTCTGCTGGAGCATCTGCCGAGCAGGAGCGGCTCCTGGGTGTGTCGCGGGGCTCCTTCCG